GGAAAGTGGAAGAGAGAAAGAGAGTTAAATATATTTAATTAATATTCCATAGCTATGATGCTATTTTATCTTTATAACTTTCAGATTATATAGTTTATATCGCATGTATTCAAACTACGTATCAAAAATTTGATGTTAAAATTATTTCTAAAATTATTGGAACTTAAGAATTACATGTGATGTGCAAAATTTTAAAGTCACATTGATGATAAAAATAAAATTGTTAGAAATGTTTTTATACTTTCAATTTAAATTATATATAATTAGAATTATAAAATGTATTATCGACAAGCTTGTTTCACGAAAGATATAAGTGTCGCGAGATATAATACATATATTAATTTATATGTCTTTTGCAAGTTACAGATTTTGCAAAAATTTCAAGTTAATTATGTTTCTGAGACACTAGTTATGTCGATATAGTAACAATTGTTACTTTTTTATACATACTAAGATTGAGCATCTAGAAGCCAATACTCCTGTTGATCATTAACCGTTAATCCAAAATAATAATTGTGTATATTTATATAAAACTTTTCATTTATATTTTCATAATTTAATGATAATTTATAGATTTATAATTTTTGTGAAAGTGAATTGGAAGATACCTATACGTACAAGTAGTTTGGAAACATTGTAATCATAACATAATGTATAGGGAGGCAACGGATACACGTTCATGGGAGCGGAAGTCAAGCACACAATCAGGATCGGAAGTAATTCCGGTGACCGAACACTGTGATGGTATTGTTAGCCGATCTGCTGAATAATAATTGGCATTCGGTGCATTTACATGGTCACGATTGCAGAGTGTCAATATCTTTCCGGATGGAATGGAAACGTCATTCGGTGGCTTTGCTTCATGATATAGTGTTCGTTCAGTGTTTGCCGTGAATCTATACCTGTGACTTCATCTTTCCGAAGGTACGTGCGTATTAAAGGTGAATCTTTTTGTCTTTGAGTGTAATAAAAATTTTTTTATATGATCGTATACATTACAATCTCTGTTTATATTTAAATGGTACTTGAGATAATTTATCTGGAACGAAGGATGTCAAACAACAAAGAGGGTTGCTATCACAAGTGTCGCAAATTGACAGAAATACACGTATACCTGTATAGAATCTGAGAATTGAAATCACTATTTTTGTAGAATGTCTTACACATAACAATTTTCGATTATCTTAAAGGCAAGTCACATATGAAGATGTGACAGGAAATATACGTGATACATTCGTTTTTGAAAATTTTATTGTCATTCGAAGCACGAAGTAAGAAACTAAAAAATTTAGTTTCGATATCGCACTCTTTTTTGTTTCATTCTCTTCTTTTCATTACAATCTCAATTAAACCGGAAAAAGGAATGGTATTTGTATATTTTCCTTTGAATATTTCAAGTTTTTGTCCGTTTCTTCTTCTAATTCGAAAATGACGATAATTAAAATGACTGCTTTTATATTAGTTCTGAACATTTTACGAACCAAATTTACGATAAATTTATCACAATTTTCGTTGCCTTTCTTTCGGAAGAAGATGGGTTGCGCACCCAGTGGACGATCGTGCAAGAAGGGTGGTATTCGATTAATGGCCACGAAGCTTACTTTCACCAAGGATCAACTGCACAATCTGAACACGTATTTCTCCAAACTGGTCGACGAGTCTCAAAATGGTGAATGTTTAACGAGCTTCTCGATAAATCTTACTCTTTGATTTGGCAAACAATGGAAAGACTACGACCGCAAAGACATCGAAAATATTGAATTCAAGAGGAAATTGTAAGCTGCCAAAGTTTCTTCTCCGTCGAATATTCAATCGAACGAATTTGTTGTAGATTCCTCTAATGTTTTTGCGATCGAAGCTATCGTGGAAAGACTGGTTCAACGCTTGATGCGAGGCGCTGCCAACCTCGATCGAAGATTCTCATCTGTGTTTCTCGTTTCATTAAACGAACCGCGGCGAATAAAGGTAAAGAGATGAAGAAATTTCTGGGATTACAATAATAACGACAAATTAGGAAGCTGGTGAATGCTCTACGAAGAGGTAATACCAGTATTTTCAAAGGATATTTTTCTCTTTTTCAGCAAGCTAAATTCGAATATCTGCTGCGGATAGATGCATTGTCGACTTCCAGTGTAGGTCCTGAGCAGGGACGTTCAGTAGTGTGCGTCGAAGAGGATGCTTCTCTACCAGGCTTTATTCGGTTGAAAGTACTTGACGTTGGAGCAGAAGTTTGGCGAGAGTACATGGATGTCGCGGGAAGATTGAGGAGGGATCTTGTAAAAGCCAAATTAGCAAATTTATTGGCTACAGCTATTAAACAAGGTATTTCGTATACCTCCCGGATTCTTTAGTTTGGGAAATAAATCGTAATTGAACGAATTAAGCGGAGAAAAATGCCGAGTCGCTGTTTCAGACGCTGTTGGTGACCCGGCAGATGATAGAAATTGTGAAATCTCACCTGGCCAAGTTGTCGATGCTGAAACTCTCGACAAAATACTGAAGCAACCAGACCACAGTCGAATATTCTACGGGCCAGGTAACGTTTCAAATTATCAGGAAATTTAAACGGTTCCGTTAATTAAGGACGATAGAAATGCGCGATAAATTTTCTCCACAGATAACTTTCAAGCTTTGAGACGTTCCGTCTTGAAACATTGCCGCGCGTTTGTTTGTCTCTGTAGTAGACAAAAGCCACTTGCAATCGCAAGCAAAAATAAAATTTCCACCGTTTCGTTATCATCCACTTCATTTCCTCATTTCATGCATTTCGTGCCTTTCTTATCAACAACAGTTTCGGTTTCACGTGTGTTCCCAAGTTTTTCTCGACGATTCGTTTGCTTTCTTTTCATCGTCTCTTCTATTCTCGATTCCCTGTTATTCTCTCTGTTTGTACTAAATAACTGACGCACGAGGTAACTTGGTAATTCGATATACTGGGCGTCCAATAAATCAGGACAAGATGCTTGAGCAAAGTTGTTTAATAACGACTGTAAGGGATTTAGAATAACGAGCGCCCAGCAAGTATGGCTAGTTTCCGTGTAACCGTATTAAAAAGCCTGTTATAAATCAAATTGTGCTGTATCTCATTGTGTGAAATAATAACCGCAGCTAACGATGCGATTTTTAACAATGTAGCCCAGATAATAACGGAATCGTATAATCGTTTGCAGCCGTTGTTTCGGATGGATCGTTACCGGAACCGAGAAATCATCGAGTGGCCATGATCGAAGATTCTAGTGGTATACTGCTTAGAATCGGGTTGGATGGATTTAAAGCTCACGAAGTTGAAGTCAGACTACTAATCGGTATTGGAGTGTCGTCATGGCCCAGTTTAACCGACTATCCTCAACGAATATCACTCTATCATTGTGACGCTCTTCTTCACTATACTGCAGCTCAAAGTGTTAGTATATATAACATCAAGAAAAGGAAAAGACAATCAAGCGATACGATATCAATTAGCGTACTATTTAATCTTATTTTTATGTTTTTATTATCGATTGATCACGACCTGCCACGTTCATTGAGTTTCGGACTTGTTATCACGCGGTCGGCACTTGTTCCGCTCCATTTCGCGAATACAAAAGTATCGAAAAGTGAAGTTTATTGACTCGTGTTTTACGCATGCGTCATGTAATTAGAGCATTGATCCTCATTGTATCGTTTGTAGATAAACGATTCTGAAAAGTTCTCCATTTCACGAAGCTCCAACCGTCGATAAAACTTCCGAAAAGGAAGACAGAATAAACAAAAAAAAAAAAAAAAAAATATACGTTTTCACCAGTCGGAGAATACAGCAATAAAAAACGTGCTTCGAGTGCACTTGTTTCCAATATGCGGCATTGGAATTACCTTCCACGCGAAAATTCTCGAGAGCTCTCGTCAAATTCTGTTTCACACTTTTCATCGGAGCTCATGTGCCGAGATAAGCATTGCGTTTCCCGCAATAAGCGATGCGAACGCGGCCTTTTATTATTCCTGGCTGCACTCTAACGATCTATCGGTTCTCCGTGGTACCGTGACGCGTTGTTGAGTGCATGGTTCGTGCAAACGACGACGATACGCATATACTTGTTTCGCATATCGTCGAAACAAGAATTGCTTGAAACATCGATTTGCACGAAGTACCTGCAAAGTAAATCCTTGATTTGGCTAAAATTATTAGCGATTCAACCAATTCGTTGGCAAATTAAATTACGAACGAGAGGACTGGCATATCGTTTCATCACGCGCGGCTCTCCCCTTTTCATTCCGCTAACATAACAGAGTTAGTAACCATTTAAATGGATTAACTCGTTTGCTATTTTGGCGCTATTTTGTACGATTGATGCGTTAATGGAAAAGGAGAGGCAATTGAGTTTTTCCAAGTATGTACGCCCGAATTACTCTTTCGTTTTGGAGTTTTTGAGAGAGAAAAAAAGAGAGTAGGAGCGAGAGGGAGGTTGATTTGAGTCTGGCTAGGCAATCTCCATATTCCTGCATAAATGGACAGATTCGTTTGTTTCGTGTCATCTGTTTGTCGACGCTGTTCCAGGGCATGTACGCGGTGGCCGTTGGTCCGTACTGTGGTGCACGTTGCGAAAACCGAGCAACTCTCTGGAGAATACGTGTTCCGGCAGCCGAGAAAATTATGAGTCAACACTATGCCGCTGACAGTGTACCAGTCCTCACTGAATCTGTGCTTCTAGAAATTTTGTACCAGTTGCGCGAAGGACATACTTTGAATTTATCAATGAGATCAAAGGTGATTCTGCGAAATACTTTGCCAGTTACTTATTTAAAATATGACGTTTAAAAAGGTTAATTGTATTAAAGATTGACAGTGTCTTACGTAATATACAGCACGTTCAACTGTTCTATGCAAGTTGAAGATTAGATTAAGACTCGAATAATCCTACTTTGCTATACATATAGCACGACGAGATGTCAGACGTAATGTTTTAAATTTGATTTCCAGTCAGATTTGCAATAGCTTCTGGATTTTCTCTCGATGGATTTTATATTTGAACGGCTCAAGTCGGATGTAACATTTGTTTCTCTTTGCGATCGTCGCTAGCGGCAGTCGTCTTAGAAATATTCTGAGGTCTGTTTATTTTAACATTTTCATCTATAGGAATGTTAGGTGCATTTCATAACGTTCTCGCAGGGGAACAATGACTGACTTCGTACGACGACAATAATTCAACGTATGTCTGGCCACGTGCATCATATCCGTGCTTGCATTCACGCGATCTCCGAGTTTTTGGCCTATTTCTGAAATGCGAATCATTTCTTCTCCGACGTGAACCACTCTCGTTTTTCCCCTCTTACTTATCTTTTCACGATACAGAGTCCACCCTGTTGGTGTTGAAGTTGGGACTGGGGTTATTCTCTCGGGCCACGCCATCACGTTCTCAGCTATTTAATAAAAACGTTGTCAATAATTTATAGATCCGATAATAATTTATCTGCTCTCTCGAAGCTGCGGTAATCGAACGCGCAGCATCGATGAATACGTAATGAGAAAAGTTGAATCGATATTTTTAAAGTTCCTTTTCTTTTCCTGCTTTACTCCTGGATTAGTTTCGTTTCGCTTTATCGATCGCAATTCTTGTTTCAGTGATGATTGTTCGTAGTTGCGGGTATTCAGACGAATTCAAAATGTGACGTTCTTAGATAGAGTAATAATATAACAGATTATCAGATTATGTTGTAGTCGTAATAGATATTGCCAAGCTTGATATATTTCCTTGCGTATTGACGTTTGAATTTTGCATATTTTTGCATTCTTGAATTTGCCATAATTACATATGTTCGTATTCAATGTATATTTTTGCATCTTTAAATTCCGTCACAGACACGTAAAAATTCGTAGTGTAAAACTGCTAGATGAAATTTTCTCAGGTAACGCGGAGAAACGGTTCCTCGTCTCCAGATCGTTTACGAGTGGTTTCCAGACACATTCTGAGAACTGTGCACCGATGGTCCCTGGAAAGGGCAGGACCGGATCCGCTGACGAGCTGGGCGCCCGGTACCCTTTCATGCCATGTTCTGTTAGCGTTGGACGAGTTGGTCGCCGCTCTGAAATGCCAGAGCCTAAGGTGTTACTTTCATCCGCGTTGCAACGTGATGCTACAGTGCGTGAGAGGTAATTCAGTTTAAGTGAAAAGGGCGTGTTAGAAGAGCGGAGCTGGTGTTGTTTTCGTTCAAGCACGTTCCAATCGCCGATTTCTTTTTGCCTGCTATTTTTCATACGACGATCAATATTTTGGCGACACGCGCGGCGCTCGATCATCTGGTTTCCATGGAAATTCTTAATTAGTGATGGTAACGTATACCATTATTGTTACACCTCGGATGCATCGGCAATTTGTACGTATTCATAAGCCGTTCGTCGACACACTTCGATCGCATCACGCGTTTTTCATCGCGTTTTGCACACCGGACCGACCACTCGTTTATTCATGACACACTTGCTGCGTTCAACTATTATGAACTATTTATTATTTAATTGCAGCGAGATTTAATTAAGACGCTTGAAAATTTACCAGTACGATCGTGCGCGGCTAGAATTCAATTATCCGTAGTTTACAACTAGCGATGAGTTATCAAGCATTTCGAGTCACTTCGAATGAAATTCGATACTGGAAAACTTTCGAAAAATATCAAATCGTTTCGAAATTGAGGCCTGAATGCTCCACAGCTAATAATTTATTTATAGCCTGCAGACTATATTTTTGCATTTTAAAGGCGGAATATCGTATCACGAGGACGCTTACGCCTCTGATTATCGATTGTTAGAATTTTACTTGGAAACGCTTCATTATCGTTCCTTCTCCATGATATGCGATGCACCAAGACCTTTAGACATTATGGAGAGCGAGCTCATTGTTAGATGGCGAGACATCATTGCCACGTTGCCCAGAGGAAATCCCAATGAGGATTACGGATATAGCCAGAAACAATTGGAATATTTTAGTATGATTTTGGAGCAAGTGCTGCGAGCAAAGGACGTTTTATTACAGGTAGAATTGCCATGACAGAATGTCGTTACAGCTTGTTACAGCTGTCGATTAGAATGAAAAAGAATTGCTTTCTGCATTGACAGGACCACTTGGACAACCGTAGTTACTCGAATTTCCCGGAATTGTCCTACTGTACTACGGAACAAGTGGAGAATCTCGTGTTCCTGTTGAAACTAATTTTAACACAGGCGAAAAATCACAGTCATCCGATAGCGGAACGCAAGTTGCGAATGCGTGGTCGTCATAAAGAGTCGAAAAGCAGGAAACATTACAACACGAGCAGTCAATTCGATTATTCGGTCGGATTGTTAATTGATATTATTAGAAGGGATAGAGAAACAGCCAATACGGATCTGGAAGCTTTTCCAATAATGACCAAAATGCTTTTACAGTGGTTGTACTTTGGTAGGGAAATAATGCAGTTTGGGAATAGACTGCAGATGTTTATGTATTTTTATGGAAAAAATTTCAAGATACGGATAGAATGTACAGAGTGCACGTAATGGTAGTAGTAAAATATCAACAGTTAAATACGTTTGTAATACCGAGTAGGTGAAACGAAAATTAAATGTCATCTTTTCAAATTTGCACGAACATCTGCAGTCCAGTTTATGAAATTCTGAACTTTTTATTTCAATTCTAAGAGTATTTTCATTGTTCAAGGCATGGACTATGATCGAAAGTATATCGAGCCCATTCTGCGTCCGTATCTGAACAATCTTTTCAACAGTTTTCACGAATATGGTTGGTGCGCGATATCTTGGAAGAAGCGACAGGAGATGTACACGTCCGAGATGCAATCGTTATCGACGTTCTGTAAATCTGTGATAACCGAGGAAATATCACCTGCTAACGGACTCGTGGACTATCTGTCAAAGGGTTGGCGTTGGGCAGAAAATATGACAAAAATGATCGAACGTTCGGGGAATTCACTGCGCCTGATTTTTCTTCCTGCGAACAGGACGATCAAATACAACTTAACTTTTACAGAGAACAAGAGTCTCAGCTCGTTCTCCACGTGGAGCAAGGCTAGAAGTGTTAGTACGATCGTGAGAAGAAAAAGTATACATTGCAGAACTAGCGAGTTAATTGATTCTTTATTGAAGTTGCAAGGAACTTCAGTCGAGAATAAAGGTTGGGAAATGTCAAGTACTGGTTTATTTCATTGAATTTATAAGTTATATATAAGAGTTCCTCTATAGTAAGTTTTCTATTTCTATTTCCGTGAACCATTGTACGTATATCAATAAGAAACCGTTTTTCTCGACAAAAACTTGTCACACAATAGGCAATAAAGTATTTCGGTCGAGTTTAGAGTGTTCGAGTTTAGAGAATTAATTAGACTCGCAGCCGCGTCTACTGCCGTTTTCACGTGAAACTTCTGGCTCCGGTTGTTCGAAAACATCGGTCTGAAGTTCTTACGGCTAATAACACTGAGCGAAATTAATTATTTCCGCGCTACGTACGTGCACGCATTTGGCATCGCTACACGTCGGCGAGAGAGGAAAAGAGCCGATACCGTTGAACCGGGCACGAAAAAATTTTTCCAATATGTCACTCGTCGGAATTTTGTTTCTTTTTTTTCGTGTAAAAAAGCTTCGTTTGCGAAACCGCGGGAATAAACAGAAAAATATTCGCTCTCTCTCTCCGTTTGATAAAGATTTATGCGCGCGAGTGTTTCATTTCTTGCCGAGATCTTTTGTTCGCGAGACTTAAAATTATCCGCGTGTTGGACCGGTAGAAGCCGGAATCCTTTTACCCAGCTTTCGAGGCTATCGAATAAAATCCTTTCTCGACGTTCGCCCTATCTAGCCGTGATCGCGCATAGAATATACGTGCTCGGCATTAAAAATTGAAGAGCAGTGTCGTTGGTTGAGCGAGGCTAAACGCGCGGAAGAGACAAAGATTTACATTGACGTCGCGAGAGAATATCATACGTTGAGCGAGCACGTAAAATTCGAGCTGAAAATGCCGAGCGATAGATCAACCGAGAGTAGCCAAGCTGCTCGGCAAAGAGAGAAAGAGGACGGGCGAGAGCGGTTTCGGCTTCGCGTTTTAAATCAACGTCGGCTGTTCGGGTGACGTAGGCAAATTTCTAGTCTGTGTCTCGATGTTCGGCCATCGGATCACACAGGCGTTTACGTAAGTTAGGTATGTGGCCGGTACGTGGCTTAAAATCAATATTTTTGTTAGGGGTTGCAGGACACGCGGAATTGAGGGATACCAGCCCTTTGACATATGTCGCGTTGATGAGCAGATTGCGAGCTCGACACCGAGGTCCTGGCGATCTGATCTCCGCTATGATCTCCCTCGGCAAGTTCCGGGTAAGTCATCAAACTTCCCTATGTTCCTTCCCTTCTCATATTCTCGCGATTTTATCGCCTCGACTCTCGCTACTTCTTTTATACTTTAACTCAATGTCTCCCGTTCTACTTACTTCCCGACGTTTTTTGCACCAGTGTAAACCAGTCCAGGCTACATGCAACGGGTGGAAGATATAGTCGAGCAAATTTGCATATCATTGAGGAAGACTAAGCGATCTTATTTCACGTCGCCAAATGGATATATCGTCGTACGGCCACCTTAGCGAGTCAGACGTGTGTATACTTGAATCAGCGTCAAACGAGCGGTTGACGATTTCAAGTGTCTTGACCGAGGGTGTATCCGTACGGCGAACGCGGTCCAGGTTCGACGGCCGATTATTTGCCAGAGTAATTTCCGCGGTGAAACTTGCGTTCCACGGTCCTTCGCGTTCCACTGTTTGCTCAGTTTGGAGTTTCGGTTCGGCTTTCATTCCGTGCGCAGCAGACGCGAGGCAGCTTAATTACACACAGTTCGCGCAGTTTCATTAGATTAGACGATCACGGATTTCCGGTGCACGAAGGCAATTCCCGGACAGTAATTTCACAGGGTCGTCTGCCGTGGGAACACGTTGCCGCGACGTCGAACCGACGCCAGATTCTCCACGACAATAATATCAACGCGAAACTCGAAGGAACTGCAGACTTCGCTGATGTCTCTCTCTCTCTCTCTGTCTCTCTTGAGTTGCGCCATTTCCGACGATCCGCTTCTTCCGTGACGCGCGCGCCACCCATTATCCCCCGCTTATATAATCGAGACTCAGTCGATTTAATGGCGACGCTGATTAATCGTGTTAGGATCAGTCACTCTGGCTGGAACCGCCGATCTTTATGAATTTCTTGCCGGTGAATCGGCCGTCGATGTGTTTTCATTCGGACAGAATCGAAGGCAAGAAACGAAGGATCGAATGGAATTGGAATTTCAACTGTAACGGGATAGAAAGCAAGTCTCAGACTGTTTTATCCAAACAGGTCTTCAACACTGATTCAACCGTCGTCTAGCTCAGCTTGTATTGATTAGAATCGATTTTTAGGAATCTCGTGCTGGTGGAATGCCATTGAATTAATCAGTCGTTAATATGAAAAGGCAAAATCAAAGGGAGGAAAGCAAGGATTCACTGAAATTTCAATCTCGGCTGTAACGGTGGAAGCGAGAAAAAAATAAGTTCCGCGTAGCTTTAAACGCGTGCGACGACGTGACAGAATACGCATATGTACGTGTATATGTATATGTATGATGAAGGAACGTTTATCTCCCTCCACAGGAGCCTTCTTCCTTGACAACGCGAATTAAACGTCGCTCACACGTCGCCGTTAAGAGACCTGCCCCTGCCTTGTGTATCGTTCCTCTTTTCGTTCGCATAAATCTTCGACGAATATAAATTGACTTTTAATCGAGGTGCAAATAAGCGTTAATGGAACGCGTATATTGAATCGTTCGTTTTATTAAATTTCGCCTGGCTGCACGCGATTTACGATATCGACTGCGATTATTACAAATGGTATTATTATATAAATCGGCGTTGTCGCCTTAGAGGAACCAAACTCTTTGTGTTTCTTTCCGTTCCTTTAGTTTTTAGACGTTTTTCTACTCTCTTCGTTCAAGACACTTTCTAGTTTCTAGTTTCAGATAAATCGTTTATTTCATGCCAGAAGTAGATGTAGCAGTAATTGTTAATTAACATTTCGACTGGTGGGGGGGGGGGGGAGGGGGGACAATTTCGAGAGGGACGAGAGCAGAAAAACGTGTGCGTCCGGGATGTCTACGTTTCAGATTAAATTTGAAACGAGCGTAATCAAAGAGCCGGTCTAAAAAGACGTTCGCGTTTTACGGACGGGTCTGCTTTTTAGTCCGCGTCAAAACGACTTCCGTTTTTCTTGCATTTTCGAGCGGCAGTTTGAAATCCGGTTTAATGCTTCGGGAAAGCCGGCGACGAGAAACTGCGAAGTGAAACCTCGGTTTACGGGCAGATCATAAAATCGGGCTGCGACGTTACTTCAAAGGATCGTGTTACCGTAATAACGACAGAAAGGCTGTTGCCACAACGGTGTTCGTACAGGTAGCGATGGGAACGATGCTCTCGCAAATAATTCATATCGATCGACTGTTGAGAAGTCACGTTATGTGCGTCATCTTCTAACATCGGAGTCACTTTATCTTGCACGTGGTATAGATAGAAGCTAAACGGCGGATTTCTATGTGTTTGTCGGGAATTTTAAAGCGCAAGGCCGCACAGAATGCGGATAATATTGAAAAAGATCTGCTTTTAAAAAATTTGCTTTTTTCGAATTAAAAAGAAATTTCGAAAAATTTATAAATTTGTATAAAGACCACCAAGTATCATCTAATTAAATATAATCATATTGCAGATTTTATATTTTCAAGTTTTTTACTTATATTTAAAAGATAAATATATTTAAAAGATAAATAATTGTTTATAGTATCTTTTATCCAATAGGTAAACGATTGCGAGACATTCCATTCCAATCGATATATGTTCGAAGGAGAATCGAATCAATCCCATCGCTATTAGCCGAAGCTTCGTGCTTTCCTCGATGTCGCAAACAGGAAGATCGTAATAAAAATATCCCCTGAGAAATAATACGTTTTCTCCTATATTAGGTACTGATGAAAATTAAATTGACGAGGAATTAAAAGATGGATATAGACGTTCTGGTAAATGGATCTAGTGCAGACATCGTTCTATATCTAACTTAAAATCGAAGCGTAATTTCACCTAGAACATAATGCTAATTTTAGCATTTTCATTTGTCTATGAAGATGAAAATGGAAAATTGAAGAAATTGAAAAATAAATGGGAAAGGTTTAAGAAACGCACATTGTCGTCCGAAAATATCAATCGTATAGTCATTTTTGACTAATTGCAAAATTATAAATACATCAGATTCCAAGGATTTTATTCCTTCTGATGGAGTATTAATATCAAATTGATATTTACAAGCCAATAATAATAAAATTAATACGTTTACAATTGTCAGACTTCTCTTGTGAAGCTATTTTTCTTTTACTCGATATAAATTCTTTCGATATCTTCAGATTCTTCAATTTGAATTATAAATCAGATTGAGAATTCTATTTTAGCCAACGAAAACGTCTAGACAATTATGAACGATAGTTCAAATTGCTCTAGAATTTCGCGTTATAATTACAGATTGAAGTTCAATTTTATCCTATATAAATTTTTTGTGTTATACGTCAATCTATCAAAATAGCAATTTAGTACGTCTTGGACAGTCTAATTTTGCCCGGTGAACTTTCGATCGGACCCGGAGGGATAATTAGACAGAAGGCACTTTGTTCGTCCAGAGACGGATGAATGAAAGTCATGTAAATGAGAGGACACGATCCAGCACTCACGATGGCCGGCGATTTTATTTTACTATCCTTTACGCGAATCGTTGCTTCTGGCTCCCCTATCTCTGCCTATTTTTTCGACAAGATTTCGCCTCGGGATCAGAGAGACTTTCCTAAAGGTTAGCGAGTCTCCGGAGGACTCTAAACGTATCAGTATTCGTGGGTCTTGGAGAATCGTGTTAAAGCAAATCTAATAGGTGTCAGCGAGTTCTCACGCGTTCGGTGGACGTTAGACTAATC